TGGCCTCATTCCTTTCTGGCTTGGCGTTTATTTGATGTTCTTAGGAAATTTCAGTGAAAAACATCACAACCCTGTTGCAATCTTGTCCCTGCGGAAAGATTTCACATAACAGAGGCTTTGCTTGACTTTAGAACATCTGAAAATAACAATGTAACTTGTACACTGTTTTTTACAGTGTAGTTATGCATTTAAGTACTGAGTAATATTAATGAACTACATCCCCTTAATATACAGTAGGATTAGGATATGGTTGAGGGTTAGTTGCATGTAATTATGCAAAATTTGCTGTTATTACTGTAGTAACGACATGTAACAGGTAACAAGGTGTCGCTATAATGCTCAGTAAAAAAATGTTGGGTTATTTTTAACGGTCACTATGTTGTGTCATTTTTAGTTATAACCCAGCTGTTTGGTTAAATGTGTACACTTTGAATTTATGTACACAATTATGTTGGCTATTTTTACATTAAATTCTAGACTCCACATTTAATTTGTAATTTAAATGCACTCTAAAAAAAAATGCTGGTTTGTTTTAACCCAATTTTGGGTAAAATATGGGCAAACCCAGCCATTGGGTTACATTTTTAAATTTTATTTTTAACCCAATGGCTGGGTTTGTCCATATTTTACCCAAAATTGGGTTAAAACAAACCCTCATTTTATAGAGTGTCAAAATTTGTTAAGACATCGTTTTATACAAATAAAAGTGTATTTTACTTAATGATGTCTGAAATAAAAAAATAAATAGTTAACTTCACTGTTTTACTTTTAAGTTAACTATTTATTTTTATTTTATTTTATAGTTGGGGAAGGTGCTATACCACCGCGTTTGGGTAACTCGTTGAGTTATTTGTAACCCAATATTGTGAAGCTTTAGGGTGCGTGTCGTTCTCTAGACAGAGAAAAAAATGGTATTGTCTAAAGTAACTGGTCTGAAATATTATTCAACATCACTGAATCAACCAATCCCAATACATCCATTTAAACCAACAAAACTAGAGTAGAGATCTGTGTTCAGTTCTGACACCCGACGTTTTGTCTGACATTCACTGCAAGATCAGACTTGGCTGAAGGACGCAGCGCTGGAAATGTCAGTTCACGTGGTGTTTGTTGTCTTTTGTTAAGATACGAGGCATTAACTTGACAATTTGTCATGTATTGTTATGTTCAACTCGCACGTCATTTCGGCGCAAACATTTCAGGCCAATGAAACGCAAAAGTGTCACGTAATGTAGATCTGCAAGTGCTGGCTGGTGATAATCTCCTCATATCTTCACAATTGTAGATATAAAAACACTGTGGTGGAAAAAAAACAGTGCAGGTTTGACCTTATATTTCTATGGGCTTGTGGTTTCAACCAAAATATCTCTAGGTTTTCAACCACTTGAGTCAGAGGAGAAGTGTAGGAGAGTTTGTCTCACTAAACTCAATTTCTGACAATCGCCAAGTAGAGCAAACGATGTTTACCACATTTCAAAATGGGCATGTTATGAACGGAAACTTTACTAAGAATAGACAGTTCTTTAGCTCACTGCATGAAGAAAAGCTGCTCTCCCCCCTGACAAAAGACAATTGGTCGGGGGGGTGATCGCCGGGTCGATCGCATTCCGATCGGAAGGTGTTGGTATTTTTGGGAAGCCATTGGGCGTCCGTCCAAGTGTTGAGCTGACGCTGGGATCCGTCATGTTTAGCATGAACTAGAAGCTGCTGTTCCAGTCTGGTGATGAAAGATGTCTGGGTGTGAAACTTTACATTTAAACCCCTTTTGTGTCATCCGGACAAGACCAGAACTGCTTAATCTGTGTAAATTGTAGGTTTTGTCCATGAAAAGCCATTTTGTTTAGTTACAGATACTGATGCTCTTGTGGAGAATTTCAGACGTCTGGTTTTACACAACCATCGACCTTGATTTATGTTTAAAAAAAAAATGGTTAACCGTGTTAGACTTCGGTTTATTATCAGCTTCAATCTTTTCTCTGTGGTGGTTTATCTCTGAATTTGTATTATGCTCTATATTTGGCATGCCTGAAACCTGAAGAGCCTGTGTCTTAAAAATGAACAGGTAAAAGGCATTCTGACATTTCTAAGGGTTTCATGACACATGCGTGTTTTAAAGCGTACACTAAACCATCCATTACTAGCAGGTGACTCTACAAACATTGTAATACAACGCCTACAAGGGATTGGCCGGCTATTGAGGACAGTTTTACGACTAAACCTGGGCTTGAATTATATACAGAAAACCTGTCGTGCATGAACGTCTTTTTCAGGGTAAAATCAAGTATATAGACGGAACCACTGAAGCGATAACTACATGACTAGGTCAGTTATAGAGTGGTATGACTTGTAAATACAGTATGTGTATTTAAATACTGTAAATAAATATAACAAAGGAAGATATTTTGAAGAAAGTTTGTTTTGAAAGTTTTTTTTTTTTGGGGGGGGGGGGGCTGTTCAGTTTCCCACATTCTTCAAAATATCTTCTTTTGTGTTCAGCAGAAAAAAGAAGGGTTAGGGTGAGTAGGTAATGACAGAATTTTTTTTTTTTTTTCTGTGAAATATCTCTTTAAGTTTCCTTAAAAATTCAGGCAAAAGTTTCAGGCTCTACTAGAACAGATTATTTTCCTCATATTCTCCATTGTTGCGGCTCCTCTCTTCCCAGTCTGTCAGTAACGCTCTGTTTACTTCCTGTGTCTATGAAGCCCCTCCTTCTGAAAAGCACACTGTGCTCTGATTGGTCGGCTGGAGCAGTGTGTTGTGATTGGTCGAGCGCTTCGAGTGTGTTTGGGAAATGTCCCGACCCTTTCCATAACCGCCAGTTTAACACACTACTAACTAACTCAACCAGGCCCCGCCCCTTTATTCTGCGTATGAATTATTATAATCAGTGGTGGAGGAAGTACTGAATCTCAGTACTTAAGTAAAAGTACAAATACCCAGATAAATATTTACTTTAGTAAAAGTAGAAGTAACACAATGACAACCATACTTAAGTAAAAAGTACTTTATTTTAAATGTACTTTAACTATTAAAAGTAAAAGTACTTGAATAACAATTTATTATCTTAATATCTATTTTCTAATGATTAATAAAACATTTAGTTCTAACTCATTCAACCTAATAGCCTACTCCTATAATGATGTTCAATAATGATGGAAAAAAAATGTCACCATTTCTGAAACAAGCTTGCAATTAGGCAATATCATGCTTATCCTTATTGTATGTTAATAACTATGCTTGGCAGTAAACGCGATTCATTTATGGTGTAATTCTGAACCTCTTGGCTTGCCATAATCCTAACCAAACCAAACATATATTACACACGGTGTGTTTCCTATGCACGTAAAAACAAATTCTCGCGTATGAGTTGCATGATAAACACTGCGTGTGAGACGCATTTAGTGTGACCGGGTTGATATACTGTATCTATGGCAACCAAACGTCACTGGTGAGACAAACGTGCAACGAACGGACGGTCAAATTACGTTTTGGCAGGGGAAAAACTGATCAGAAAATGTAACGAAAATGTAACAGAAGTTGTAGAAATGTAGTGGAGTAGAAAGTAGAATAATTGCTGCAAAATGTAACGAAGTAAAAGTAAAAAGTAGGCACTATTTATTCTACTTAAGTAAAGTAAAGATACGTGAAAAATGTACTTAAGTAAAGTAACAAAATTTTGTACTTCGTTACATTCCACCACTGATTATAATGTGGAATATTGTGATGTGTCCAAGAAACTCAAGACTACAATGGAGGCGTTTCAGGCGTTTTATGACACTGATATAAAGAAGAGAAAATAATGAAAACAATAAACGGGTTTCCTGAAGACTCGAACGGTGACGTTCCGCTCGTGAAGCTCAAACAAACATACGAGTGTTTTGAAAGCATTTATACTTTTCTGGGAAATACTGTAGTTATCTCAGCATTGTTTTAGGATTGAATAACTGACACACTTCACCTTTAACTATGGCAACTGCTGAACACAGTGTAAAGCTAATCAAGTCAAGTCACCTTTATTTATATAAAGTAAGTTCAGGGATGATAACCATAATGATGATATGTATCAATACTTATGCGATAGAGTTATGATCCATATTAGCCATCACTGAACTCACTGAAGCTATTTTCTTCTGGAAACAAACTTTATTGCATTATTTTCTTGTTAGTTATCTCTGTAAAGCTGCTTTGTTTTACACTGACGCTTCATCTACACACACACATTTACACTCGCAGTTTCCCTTTTTCAGTCTTATCTGGTTCACACTTTGAGTGTCATCGGAGCCCGTCTTATATCTGAGGTGTTGATTCTTCATGAACGTCTCAACGCTCGCACCCTTTGGCCTGATTTAAGGTCTTGATCTCTTTGAATGAATGTTTCCTCTAAAGACACTCGAGGGTTTCACATGCACTGATATCCTGTACAAAACTGTGCATTTGTGTTTATAAGGCATTGTACACAATAATTACCATTTAATCTCTGATACAAATGTGGAGATTCGGACAGAATTATTCATTTAATCTTAACAGCAGTGAGTATATTCCAGTTTTTGATTGCTCTGTAAACAGATGACTATGATGATTTTACCATGGTAAATAATAAAATACTGGTGATACTTAATGTGTCTTTGTTGCACGTAGTAACAGTAAATTATGCATAATTATAAGCAACTAACGCTAAACAAAAACCCATAGTAAGTGCGTCAGTTAATTAATATCATCCCGCTCTGTAACACTTTATTTTAAGGTGTCCTTGTTACAGTGTAATTAGATATTTAGATAAACCTCTTAGATATTTTTTCTTACCAAAACCAAAGAGCACGGGAGGAACATTACACAGTCATTTTCAGTGTAGTATCTATTGTGTTTTGGCCAAAATCGAAAAAAGCTGTGACGCACGCATCAAGCTTGGGAAACACAGCAGACTGAGGATGAGTGTGTGTGGATGTTGTTGATGTTGTTTGCCTTTGGCCTCATTCTGCCGTGGCTCTTTGTTTTGTCAGATATGGTGGACACGCAGACGTTCGCCTGGCCCGTGGGATTTGGCCTGAGCGCTCTGGAACTGGAGGAGCTCGACGACAGCTCGCACTCGCTGGACATGAAGCCTTTCTCCACCCTGGACTACACCAGCATCTCCGGCATCGAGTACGAGCCGAGTCCGCAGGTCGAGCCGCCACACATGATGGATCTGACACACATGTACAGTTACAGGACTCAGGAGAACTTCAGGACTCAGGAGAACATCAGGGCACAGGAGGCCTTCAGGACTCAGGAGAACATCAGGACACAGGAGGCCTTCAGGACTCAGGAGAACTTCAGGACTCAGGAGAACATCAGGGCACAGGGGGCCTTCAGGACACAGGAGAACATCAGGGCACAGGAGGCCTTCAGGACACAGGAGAGCATCTACAGGTCTCACGAGAGCAACTTCAACGTGGAGGAGAGCGGATACAGAGCGCACCAGTCTCAGAGTACTGCACTCACACTCTTTACTCTCTTACTTAATAATGTTGGGTTAAAAATGACACAACAAATAACCCAACTATGGCCTGGTATAGACTACAGAGAACTGCGCTCACACTTGTTACTTACTCGCTTAATAATATTGGGTTAAAATAACCCAACAATGGGCTGGTATATAGTACAGAGTACTGCACTCACACTTGTTACTCACTCGCTTAATAATGTTGGGTTAAAAATAACACAAAGAGTAACCCAACTATGGCCTGGTATATAGTACAGAGTACTGCACTCACTCTCGTTACTCACTTAATAATGTTGGGTTAAAAATAACACAACGAGTAACCCAACTATGGGCTGGAATATAGTACAGGGTACTGCACTCACACTCGTTACTCACTTGCTTAATAATGTTGGGTTAAAAATAACACAACGAGTAACCCAACTATGGGCTGGTATATAGTACAGAGTACTGCACTCACACTCGTTACTCACTCACTTAATAATGTTGGGTTAAAAATAACACAACGAGTAACCCAACTATGGGCTGGTATATAGTACAGAGTACTGCACTCACACCCATTACTCACTCGCATAATAATGTTGGGTTAAAAATAACACAACGAGTAACCCAACTATGGGCTGGTATATAGTACAGAGTACTGCACTCACACTTGTTACTCACTCGCTTAATAATGTTGGGTTAAAAATAACACAACGAGCAACCCAACTATGGCCTGGTATAAAGTACAGAGTACTGCACTCACACTCGTTACTCACTCACTTAATAATGTTGGGTTAAAAATAACCCAACGAGTAACTTAACTATGGCCTGGTATAAAGTACAGAGTACTACACTCACACTCGCTACTCACTCGCATAATAATGTTGGGTTAAAAATAACACAACGAGTAACCCAACAATGGGCTGGAATATAGTACAGGGTACTGCACTCACACTCGTTACTCACTTGCTTAATAATGTTTGGTTAAAAATAACCCAACGAGTAACCCAACTGTAGGCTGGTATATACAGAGTACTGCACTCACACTTGTTACTCACTTAATAATGTTGGGTTAAAAATAACCCAACGAGTAACTTAACTATGGGCTGGTATATACTACAGAGAACTGCGCTCACACTTGTTACTTACTCGCTTAATAATATTGGGTTAAAATAACCCAACAATGGGCTGGTATATAGTACAGAGTACTGCACTCACACTTGTTACTCACTCACTTAATAATGTTGGGTTAAAAATAACACAACGAGCAACCCAACTATGGCCTGGTATAAAGTACAGAGTACTGCACTCACTCTCGTTACTCACTTAATAATGTTGGGTTAAAAATAACACAACGAGTAACCCAACTATGGGCTGGTATATAGTACAGAGTACTGCACTCACACTCGTTACTCACTTAATAATGTTGGGTTAAAAATAACACAACGAGCAACCCAACTATGGCCTGGTATATAGTACAGAGTACTGCACTCACACTCGTTACTCACTTAATAATGTTGGGTTAAAAATAACCCAACGAGTAACTTAACTATGGCCTGGTATAAAGTACAGAGTACTACACTCACACTCGCTACTCACTCGCATAATAATGTTGGGTTAAAAATAACACAACGAGTAACCCAACAATGGGCTGGAATATAGTACAGGGTACTGCACTCACACTCGTTACTCACTTGCTTAATAATGTTTGGTTAAAAATTACACAACGAGTAACCCAACTGTAGGCTGGTATATACAGGGTACTGCACTCACACTCGTTACTCACTTAATAATGTTGGGTTAAAAATAACCCAACGAGTAACTTAACTATAGGCTGGTATATACAGAGTACTGCACTCACTCTCGTTACTCACTTAATAATGTTGGGTTAAAAATAACACAACGAGTAACCCAACTATGGCCTGGTATATAGAGTACTGGGTACTGCACTCACACTCGTTACTCACTTGCTTAATAATGTTTGGTTAAAAATAACCCAACGAGTAACCCAACTATAGGCTGGTATATAGTACACTGCACTCACTCTCGTTACTCACTTAATAATGTTGGGTTAAAAATAACACAATATGAGTAACTTAACTATGGGCTGGTATAGAGTACAGAGTACTGCACTCACACTCGTTACTCACTAGGGTTACCAAGTGTCCCGAATTTGCCGGGACGTCCCGATTATTGGGCCTAATTTATTTGTCCAGTACAGGACCTCTCTAGTGCTACGCCGATCTGACTGACACAACAGAAACATGGCACTTGAGAATGACCACGACAATGGTTGGGTTAAAAAAATAAGCCACCGTTTTTTTACTGTGTAGAAAAATCGTGTGTGATGCTTGAGAGAAGTTAAAGGGATAGTTCACTCAAAAACAACAACTCTCTCATCATTTACACCAACGGTCATTAAGATTATGTTTCTTCTGCACACCGAGGCTGTGTTTATTTGATTAAAAAGTTCTGTAAAAAAACATTTAAAAAAGTTAAATATTACTCCAGTGTAAATCAGCAGTTTTCTATGTGATTTGTATGGTTAAGTGTATTTTTTTTCCTGTGATCAAAGTTAAATTTTCAGCATCATTACTCCAGTCTTCAGTGTCAAATGATCCTTCAGAAATCAATCTAATATGAAGATCTGATGCTCAAGAAACAAATTACACTTAGAAAACGGCTGGTTTACATTCTAATAATATAATATCAAAAAATATTTAAAAAATACTGTATTTTTGAATGCAGCTTTGGTGTGCAGAAGAGACTCTTTCAGAAACATTACAAATCGTAACTATCCCAAACTGTATCTATTCAACACTTTTAGTTTTGCCGTTTTACAACTGTACAAATAAGATTCTGTTTAATAAATGTGTGTATTATTCTAAGCCTGCTGTCTTTGATCCGTTTCAGACTTGATCAAGCTTGAACCCGAGTCTCCTCCTCAGTTTGCAGAGAACAGCCTGTCGTTCTCCAAAGCTCACGAAGACCCGTCGGCCTCGGCGCTGAACATCGAGTGTCGTGTGTGTGGAGACAAGGCCTCAGGCTTCCACTACGGGGTGCACGCCTGCGAGGGCTGCAAGGTATGTCTACTTCACATGCCAACAACACTCATTACTCACTGACTCAACCAGAAATATGGAAACATGCCATCAAACGTCCAGCTGAACACACTACCAGTCAAACGCTTCTTAATAGGGGTGTAACGATTCACTCGTTTTCTCGATGCATCGATTATAAATCCTGGCGATGCATATGCATCGATCCTGAAACATGTATTTTGAATCGTGAATCGTTTATTTACGTGAATAATCGACTTAAAAGCCTAAGAATCGAATTAATCACGATTTTATAGCGATTCAGTGGTTTAAAATATATAAACACAACCTTAAAGTGTTCCTGGTACAAGCCGCCTCACGCATTGGCCGTCATACGACATCCGCATTTGATTGGTTTCAGGCGCTCACACACCCCTGATTTCTCACGCTGAAGCTCGGTCGGTCAAATGCCTGAAAGATGAGTTTATCTTTCTACCTGTTGAGCTACTCATGTCGTGATCAGCTTGTATTACCGCAAATTTAAAATCTCCCGGAATCTAGAGCGAGCGTGCATACGAGACAGAGGTTGTGCTCCAAACCGCGTATCGCGCGTTCACACACGGCTGCACGCACTCGGCAGAGAGGGAAAGCGAGCGAGAGACCACCTTGCGTGTACGGAGAGTCCATGTAATAAATGAATGAAAGCGTTTTATTTCATAGTGCCCACGCAATGGCATGGCAGCTTTATCAATGGCTTGAGCGGTTTGCCTCAAAACTATTGCTTTCTCGACAGAGAGCTCAGCTGGAGAGCTCAAACATGGACTGCTCAAAAATCTGTAGTTAACGTTATGAAAGCATGAGAGCTATGGGACCGAGCGCGAGCAAAATCCAGTGAAAAGATGATAACGAGTGCACTGAGAGGACGCGAAATGAAACTAATGAAAACGTCTCCATTAATTTGTGCATGTAGTCATTTAATGCAATACTTTTAAAGCCTTTTTCAAAATATTTGCTACTTGCAAATGCTAATTTGTAGGCCATTGAATTTTTTTTTATAATAATATATTCATTAAAATTAAAAACAAACATGAGCTAACATTAACAATGGACAAAATCCCCACTATCTGATCCCCGAAGGCCGCTGTAGGCTAATTAAAAACCCAGCCAAAGATGGGTGAAGCATTGAAATAATACTATAATGCATATAAAAAATTAAGAATCGAATTAATCGAATCGAATTTGGATGTGAATCGCATCGAATCGAATCGTTCTGAATTTGCACAAATCGTTCATGAATCGAATCGAAAACCTATGAATCGTGAATCGAATCGATTCGCTGTCTACCCAAAGATTCACAGCCCTACTTCTTAAAGAGTTTTATAATGTTACAAAAGATTCTATTTCAAATAAATGCCGTTTTCAACACTGATAACAATCATAAATGTTTCTTGATCATCATATTAGAGTGATTTCTCTAGTAATGAAGCTGAAAATTCAGCTTTGATATATTCACATAAAAAAAAATCATAATATTTAACTATACTGTTTTTGTTGTTGTTGTATTTTTAATCAAATTAAACAGCCACTGTGAGCAGAAGAGATTTCATTTTAAAAATCCCAAACGTTTGGCTGGTAGTGTGTGTTGTCAGGCTTCATTCGGGGTGATCGCACACAATCCGACGGGATCAGCTCAAGAGGAGCTCAAGGGGTCACACTCACCGCTTAACACTTTCCTGCTCAGATCTTTAACCATCACACCACAGCACCCACACACACACACAAACTCACGTTTGATAGAGAAGATGCATTAATACCCTGAACACATGACACTCTTCCAGTCATTCTGACAAATTTAGAACATCAAACATCAAATTCATTTTCAGACATGCAGATCAGGTCTGAAAACGCTCTGAACCGTCTGACACTTCGACCGCAAACCCCCGGCAAGTTTCCACTGTGGCAGAAATATGTATGGGCAGAAAGATATGTCTCAATAAGAATAATCATGAGTGGGTGACCCAGACATCTCAGGTGCTCACATTTCCCACACACTCGACATCTGTGGTTTAGATGAGACATCACACACACACACTCACAAAAAGAGCCCCTCATATACACTCTACACTGTTTTTCTTTTTGAACAAATTAATACTTTTATGCATCAAAGATGCATTAGATTAATCGAGCGTGGCGTAGAGGCATTTATAATGGGTCAGAAGATTCTGTTTCAAATAAACGCTGTTCTTTAAAACGTTCTATTCCTCACAGAATCCTGAAAAAACAAAATACATCACGGTTTCCACACTGATAATGATCATAAATGTTTCTGGAGCATTTCTGAAGGATCATGTGACACTGAATACTGGAGGAATGATGCTGATCACAGGAATAAATGACACTTTACTATATATTGACATATACTATAGATTCATACAATATTTCACTGTATTTCTGATCGTCGAATCTCTAGTGTAGATCTCATCACGCACACGTTTGTGTTGAAGTGAAGACTTTGCAACAGGATGATCCTTTAAAACAATGCAAATCTGGTGGCTAACCACATCCACGCTCGATGTGCTGCTTTCTCTGAAGAATCAGAGGACTTGGCCAGAACTGTTTAATGTGTGTTTGTGTGAAAAACACATTTCAGAACAAACTTAATTTGGGAAGGTCTACTGCGGCTTTACTAAATATGGTCCGACCACAAGAAAAACTGGTATTGTTCCCCGTCCCGTCACTTAACAATGCTTAAAGATGAGTTCAGCCAACCAGGTTAACTCATTTATTGTTCAACAATACAAAGCCATTCTGTTACACCTTACTATATATATTTTTGGCCTACGATGGTTCTAAATTTAAAAGTGGAGGTATCGAGAGGCAGAGTAAATGCATGAAAAACATCCTCTTTTAAAAGGCTCTTTCCTGTGTGCATAGTTCTCACTTCACTATGAATTTTTTTTTTTTTTTTTTTTAAACAAACTATAAATACTGCATGGAGTGGCTCTGAGACAGCACATGTATATGAAAATGTCTACCAAAAATAGATAGTCAACGTCTTTCTGCACCCTGTATTGTTTCCACTGGAAATCTGCTGTTCTGCCGTCCTTTAGACGCTGGTTTCCAAGCGTATTTGACGTTACACGTGGGTTTTCATAATATTTGCCCATGCATTCTCCACTTATTAATGAGAAGTGTCAAGACTAAGACTAACAAGAATTGTTTTCTGGCCAAAGTCCAAAGCCGACCATTCAAATGCTCTGTTATTTAGATAAAGCGTGCTAGTCGTGAGAGCACAGGTTATCTTTGGGTGTAATGACTCGAGGAAAATGTTGGAATCTAAATCTCCTAAAGGCTCTCGAGATTACAGCAAGATTTAAAGCAACACTGTGTGTTTCAGAAGTTAGCCGAATAATTCACGGTTACACTTTATTTTAAGGTGTCGTTGTTACAGTGTAATTATATATTTAAGTACTGAGTAATATTAAATACTTCCTACTATAGGGTTCAGGGCCGGATTAACCATTAGGGCAACTGGGCACTTGCCCAGGGGCCCATGACATCCAAGGGGCCCTGGACACCAGTGGCAATGGGCTCTCTATGCACGGCGTTATTTCTGGTGAAGGATTAAGGATGCTCGATAACTTCCGCCGATCATAGAGTCCAATGCAATACCGAGAATTTATATTGAATTTTATACTCCATGGTTATACTAATGAAACGTTAGTCACAAAAACAGATAAAACAGACACCCCTCGTTGTGTTTATGCTTCTTTTTAAAATTATATTAAATAAACATAAGTATTACATCTAAACGTATGTACGTTTCGTTTCAAAGACGGGAGGACAGTAAATATTGAAGACTCTGCCATAATCCCGTTTTCTCCGGTTTTCCTCCACTTTAATCTACACAACCAGAAATGGACGAGCATCCTTACGTCAAATGCGGAACTTATGCGTGCATATAGCCCATCGGGAGAGTCGGGAGTTTCCCAGGTGGACCGGTACTGTTTCGAGGCCGCGAGGAACGGTTTGATAAAACGGAACGTATGTTTGCACTGAGTGCCTGTCTTTTATGAAAAAAGACGCCATTCATGTCACAGCTGCAGTGGCGTCGGTCGTAGCGCGCAAAGCGCGTGAGTCAGCTGTGCTCGACCCCGAGATCGAATCCGCCTTTTGGCGAAGTCTCTTCTCCCTTTTCCCAACACATATGAGATGTAAAATGTATAACCTAACATAGGTCTCTAGCGTTATATTTTGCCAACGAACTAAAATTGAAACCATGATATGGATTTTTGCCTTTATAAAACAGCACAAGACTTTGTGCTGGGTGAATTAAAGAAAAGTGTGCACTTTGCTCACGCGATCAGGATGGTCATCTGGTGTTTTCTCCTAAATACAAGCTGAAGGGTTTATTTCTTGCAAGTGAAGAAATAAGTACAATAGTATTTTAATTTTCCTATATTAGTGTAATGTAGACTAAAATATAGGCTACTTTTAAAATATAAAATTTCATTTATATAGCATTTATAAGCTTCATGGATTTTACATCATAGGAATAATTATATAAATCATTATTACATTATTATAATAATTGTTTGGGATCCTAAAACACCATTGATAATGTTATGTAGACTGAGACTCAACTAAAAAGATGTTTGAGCCTTGTTTATTGTCCTGGTACAAATCAATGTGTTTTCTTAGTTCAACGAGCAGATCATGGGTTGAAGCTCTTAATTTTGATCTCGAGCACGAGATTGTTGCATTTAACCTTAAAATGTAAAATAAATTCTTGCGGGGGAGCTGTAAATGCTAAATTAAGGGTCCACCCAACATAGTTTTACAAATTCCTATAGGAAAGAACAACCATTTATGAACTTTACTCCAGCATAGTTCAACAAAGTTAAGTCAGTAAAACTGTAAATGTCGTATTAAAATGTCCTTGGACAAAATATACATTTGGCCTGCTTAAAGGAGAACTCCGGCGAACAATGAACCTTTGGTCTAATAAAACATCGGTACCTAGTCAATCGTTCTCTGAGTTTTGT